TATACATGATTGGAGGATGAATTAGATGTTTTTGAACCAAAATGGCCACCTCCATGGTTTGAACCAATTTGACTAACCAAGGCATCTTTCTTCAAAAATGAACTTTTTGCAGATTTCGTTACGAAATACTGAACAACCTAATGGTTTACATGTAATCATAAGCAAATATCTTTAGAGTTCTTGTGACTGCTTTTACCAACCAGGCACCATACGATACTGGAAGAGAGATAAGGAAGCAATTTGATCATGATTTCTTTGAGTTTGGTGTTTATACATGATTGTAGGATGAATACCTATGCATAATCAATTTTGAAGCATTTCAGATAATGCCAAAAAATTATTACATTAATGCTATAATGGCAATTGTACCTTGAAAGTGAGTTTGAATTGTGTCCTTTAATTCAAAGATGTAGACTTATGCACCATTATCAGCTGTTAGAAAAATAAAAAATCATTTCCAACGGGAACTCTTTCCTTCAATAAATAGATAATCTAGAGTATTACACTAGGTATTATTTAATTAAATGTTATATTTCAAGCTCCGGGTGTTAACGCACCGCTTTATCGAAGAAAGAATACGCGAAGGAATCCCACAGGAAGGCTAACAACCTGTTAAGTATTCGCAAAAGATAACGAAATCTATTTTTAGAACAAGTACATTTGACAACACCGCATGATCTCTCCTTATCACACCAATGTCATTTTATACACTATATGATCTCTACTTAAGTGTATTTATTTTTGGATCTCATCCTAACTGCTTTTTATATGGATAATTTTAATTGTATGAATTTCTTTCCCCTCTATAGGGGTAATGATAGAAGAACATATTTTATGTCGTTGGCAACCCATTATACACGAATATTTTTAACTTTAAAGGGGGATCTCAGGTTATCCTACTATTATCCGGATCTCGACTTATATCAATAATAGATATATATATATATAAATATATATATATATGATAAGGGTAAATTAATATTTTAGAATTTCAGCCCGTTATGTATTGGTTTCCTATGTTAATTTGAAATCAGCATTAAAATTTCAAGGTCATTAAGGTTTAGGGATGAGGGCAGAAGGGATCAAATGGAAAAGAAGTTTGAAGGTATCGATAGAAGACTGAAGACGGACCACAAAGACTGAAGACTGAAGACGGAAGACTGAAGATTTCATAGCAGTAGTAACAGGTATATATAACAAATAAGAACTAAAAAAACAAGGTCCTAAAACAAAGACCCAAATTACAACGTAACACTATTACGAAGAGGCTACTTACAAGATGGTGTGGGCCTTCAACGTAGAGACAATATAATATTTTGTGTGCCTAAATAAATTGGTGGTAGTAAATTAACGCTCGGATCCTAAAAGGCTATGAAGAAATAGAAAACGATACAACAACAAGAATACCTACAAAAAGGCTCAAATACGGCGAGCAAGAGGTAAAATATATATTGGTTGTAGAAGCAAATCACAAATACAAGTGTGCCTCTCCTGTACTCTTGATCCCCAGAATAGGGTTTATAAGGACGAATAGTAATCCTTTTATTAAGTAGGGTGAACTTCAAAAGGGTAATAATCCCAAAATGTTTGGATATTAACGGCTATAAAAATTTCGCACCTCAGTAGCACACGACAAAATTGACAATAATCGAAAACGGAAACGAAACGTAGAAGATTTTGAAAAAAACGAACAGTAATACCAATAATTAAGGAACATAAAAGGTTAGCGAGGAAAGAAGAATAGATTTTTGAAGGGAGCGGGAAAGAATAGCGTGGTTTAGACGAAATAACAACAGATGGCCCTGAAAATGAATCAGAGGCGTAACATTCAATAAAATGTATTACATATAAGCTTAGAAAATTAGAATAGTGAAAACAGTAATGAAAGAAGAAGCGTTTAGAGTGTGAAAAGGAAGATAAAGTTGTAAGAAGAAGACAAGAATCGAAAGAAGCGAAGAAATCGAAAGAAGAGATTTATGAAAATGAGTACGCCTATGAGATGAAATTCAAAACAAAATAAACGAATTCCTAATCTAAAAATCAAAATAAATAATGCAAAAATAAAGTAAAAATGGACCTGTAACAACGCCGTTATAAGATTCATAAGCGACCTTTAAGCCGGCCCGAGGAATTCAGATTAACACTGAGCCTTACTGGACTACTGATTTTAGAAATTTCGATCCGGTCAATTAAGTAGGTGAAATTAACTACAGCAGCTAAATAAACGTGTCGCAGTAAACGTCATGCCACATACTAGTGTGGGATATCAAGAGAAGTTGAATGTTAAGACCAATTTTACAGATTTTTAGGACGTCTGCAGGTCGCACAAATAATAAGGGAAGTTTTCATTTTTGTTGTTGCTTCTATTTAGATTTAGAAGTTTAGAAAATCAAGATTTGCTAAGGGGCCCAGTTAAAAAGGCCCTGGACTGTTTGAGTCCGGTTGCGTAATGTCACTAAGCCTGGAATTGACTAGTCATCCAGTCTTTAATCCTGCCCGGAGAACGAAAGGCTCCGGCCCTACAATGACCTCCACGTACCAGTTCGTCAGCCTTTCCGTTGGCCCCTATTCCGCATTGAGCTGACGCCCAGATCAAGCTTACCCTATTAGATTCACCTAATCTACCTAGTGTTCGTCTGCAATCAAGCACTCTAGCCAATCTGAACCTAAAGGTCTAAAGGCTCTAGCCCCAGAAGTGCCTCAATGGCGTGGTTTTCATGCCTCCAGTGACTCCAAGACAGGCCTGCACAACACATGGCAGGCCACAATACCAGGGCACCGTTATAGTATTATTGGCCTTATCAGTACAGGGTAAAGCCAGTATACCAGTCGACGATTCAAACCCCATGTACAACCAAAGGCCGTTTTACATGACCAACGGCCATAGATATGCAGTGATCTTTTTTCGTATTTGCTCAATGTGCCCTTTCCAAACGCAAGTTTACCTGGTCTGATCCATCCTCAAAGAGAGTCTATGGCTACTGCACCACTTGTCCACCTGTTCAAGACCCCCTCGAGTGAGTTCTTTCACGGTTCTTGGAAACTTGACTATGACGATGACGACATCGTCTGCCTACTCCTGTGTATACTCTCCGTCCTCGTTCAGAGTGCAGAGGAACCCGTCTAGAGGCCATACACCACAACACTGCACCCTACGGACATCCTCTAGTACCCGATGAGCTCATCTCCGTCGTTCCGATTGAGGATATAATGACCCTGCTTACGAGCATGGCGCGGATCCATTTCACGATTGACACATCAATGCCAAAGCCTTCAGAAACCACGTCAATCCAACGTCTATGACCAGAGTTGGACTGGGTCAAGCATAGAGTGACCCAGTGACCCGGTGACCCAGTGACCCAGTTGACCCGGTGACCCAGATTGACCCGGTGACCCAGTTTGACCCTGTGGCCCAGCTTGACCCGGTGACCCAGCTTGACCCAGTCTCCCATCTTGACCCAGCTTTACTCGGTGACCCATCTTGATCCGGTGGCCCAGTTGAATCCGTTGACCAAGTAATTAAATTATTGTTGGTAGCATCCAAAACAATTTCAAGTAACTTTTAATTAAAAAAAAACTTCCTCAATAATATTCGCCAACAAGCACGTAGCCCAATTTCATTCAAGAGAACTAATACCTCAAAAAATCAAATGCATTTGTTTATAGTTTGTAGTTAAGTAGTCAATGAAAGTATTTAGAGAAAAGATTTATTTGGATTAAGCTAACTAGTAGAAAAAAATTAAATGTGAATGAACACCTGTAAGCAAACTGGTAAGCCCTGAAGCAAAGAAATGAAGGAGGGAACTGTTTAGAGATAACATTACTATTAACATTACAATTAGGGTCAAAGTTTTTTACGGCAGTATTAAAGCAAACATCACAGAAAAGGCAGTTCTCAAGCAATCAAGTATTATTTTCAACAAACCAGCATTAAGTTTCATTTATTTCATAATCTGTACACTTGAACCGAAGTCACTGACTTAACTGCGTTATTCGATCAAACTAGGTTACTGGGTCAAATTGGGTCCCCGGGTGAAATTGGGTCGCTCGGTCAAACTGGGTCACTGGGTCAAATTGGGTCGCTGGGTCAAACTGGGTCACTGGGTCAAACTGGGTCACTGGGTCTAACTGAAAAGAGTATGACGTGACCCAGCGACCCAGCGATCCAGTTTAATTAGGTGACCCAAGTGACCCAGTTGACCCAGTGACCCAGTCCAACTCTGTCTATGACACCGTTATTGTGGCTTCAAATTATATTATAAATGTCATACAAGGTTAATGACCACCCAATTCTTGGTGGAATCCAGTTACACGTCCTTGAACTTCTGCCTGAACTCACCTGTGGTTTATTTAACGATACAATGGGGTCATTGACCTTAGACGACCCGGGAAGTGAAATTTGACGCCGCAGCAAAAAAGGTAATTGACCTTAGACAACCTCAAAAATTAAGTGTGGTGTAATTTTGCATCGTAAAAAATGAAATACGATATTCAAAGCTTGCCCTTTGAATTTTACCTTGACCTAATTTCGCCAAAGTCGCCACCATATGGCGAGCAAACGTATTTAGAAAAGCGTGCGCTGATTAGGGCGGTCCTCGGGCTAGCTGCGAGGTTCCGTAGACGCAAGTAGGGGAATGACATACGGGCAGATTGTTGAATCACAGCTGGCAATTGCTTTGGTATCGTTTCGTCTGTGTACTTAGGCATCTATATATAGAAAATTTAAGTGAGAAAGCTCCAGCTCAAGCTTGATCGCAGTAGTGTGCGAGCCATTCGTTCAATTTGTACGATCGCCCAAGTTAAAGACAGATCGTCGCTGAAAAAACGTAATTCGTTCGTGGGTCTGAATTACAGTAGGGCCATACTTTAAACCCGTGTATAAAGGATATTTGTTTAATTTTTAAAAATTCACTGAAAACCAGCAACTAAAGAATTCAGTAACTTTTGACGTGCTTTTTGTAATTATTAGAGCTTGTGTGCCACTAGTTACTTTCAAAATTGCATTAATGGAGATCCACGCGAAGTAAGTGCAAAACAGAAGCTCAGGTAAATTCACTTGTGATTCACTCGTTCCCGAGTACCCTCTTGTATAGCACACCAAAAACGGATCATTCTATCTTCAGCTGTAGTAATTCCGCATCGCCGGACCAATAATGAGATCCATGCTTTTTGTAATTGCACCACAACCGGACGCTAACGAAGTAAGCAATCTCAACGAGCGAGATGAAGGAGAACCCCATGAACAGTCCAAACAATCCACCACAGCTCGATAGGAAATCCATCAGTCCGTAAAGCTCGTTCCTTTCCGACGTAATAAACTGTAAATCCCTGAAGAAGATCTGAACTTTGGAATACTCGTCGGTCCTAAAAAAATGGAATTAGTAGTCGACCGTTATCTCGCACGTACATTTTTTTTTGCGACCCGTTTTTGGACAGTATCGACTCCATTTGTTGCCACCTCCATTCCGTTTGGGAAATTTCCGTTTCGTAGTGGATGGAGTTGCACGTCTGTCGGCAGTCGCACATCTCCACAAAGTCGGATCCGTCGGTTGGCTCGCTCGAGTTATTTTCCACCGCAAACAACGCTAAAAAATATCTTTGGCATTCTACTTGCTTGCACAGTTTCAAGTCTACCACCTGCAGCCCGGGTCACGCAACCCCTTTTTAAGCGACCACAAATCGGCGTGGAATTAAGGCCTGGAATCTATGCGTTATCTACAGACAAAGCAGGGGTGGGGGATCTTACGTGGCATTTCGAAGGACACGCATCCACAATAGCGAAATGTGTAGTTCGAGAGGCACTCGTGAACACAGTTAAATTGGTCGTAGCTTTTGAAGAACATCAATCGCTTTTCGTCGGCGAAGTAGCACTCTCTACTGTCGGGGTGATATTCTGCAAGCTGCCTTGAGGTTTTCACAATCGTTGGTTTGACTGCCGCGACAAGGGCTTGGTTGAGACCCACGCGGAAGTAGTGATCTTGCGTAAACGGAATTTGGGAGGGATTGTGCAGTATAACCTCAAATAGAAAGAAACATATATACACATCTCTACGAACAGAATTTACATTTTAATTTATTTAATAGATAGGCAAAGTTGGAGTTTTGGAATTTTTTTAGGGTTCAAACGGTCTAGGTTCAAATTTTACAATATATTGTACGGTTGGGGAAACTGCACAAGTTCGAAGGTAATTGGTGGAATTCGCGATGGTTTTTTCTGCGTATTTAAATTCTATAAAGTATTGTTCTGATAATGGCTTTAGGAAGTCGTAGGTTCCAGGGAGTGAGCGATATAGGAGGTAAGCTAGGGCTTTTATTGCAAAGATAGCTGACTTAAAAATTACGCCGCTCTAAGATCATCAGTACAAAAATACAATTTAGGAGAATTTAAAGACAGCCTAGCTTTTCTTGCACTGTCGGAGTACAGCGAACCCGGTTGGCCTTAAAAAAATGTAAACCAAATTATTAGACGTCATATGGGAAAAGGCGTCAATTAGTCGAGGAAAATATAGACAAGGGTTAGTCTGGGAAGTTTTTGATGGCATTCGGTTGTAAGGGGCCGTAAGTGTAAATTTAATTCCATTTAGAGGAGTTTCAATTTATTACCAACAGGTGGGGCTAGTGTTTAATTCCTTCCGTCAGTCACCGCACATTTTGTCCACGCAGTACTCCCAACTCCACATCCAGGTCTGGATACAAATAAAAGCAGTAGAACAATCCTAAAGCTACAGGATTTACACCTGATTAACAGAATCTCGGAATGTGCATCCCACCCCACCACGCGCACACTATACATAGATTCTACGTAGAATATGCATACAGGGTGGCGCATAATAATTAGTAAGAAAGCAGTTTTCGGAAAAAAAGAAAACACACGTAGATCTTGGTTCGAAGGGGGGCATCTTGGCGTCAGTCTCCTAAGCAGGGTTGCCACATCTATAATAATTCTAAATTAAACGTTGGATCGAGCGTGACATGTTTGAAAAGGGTTCTTAATTTTCTGCACGGCTTTCAAATTTGAAGGATACAGTGTGTCAAATGACTCGTCGGGGCTAAAACCCAGACTGGTAGCGACGAAGGTCATCGTCGCGGACCAATCTGCAAGGTCAAGGTGTTAGCGAGAGCGGCCGTGCCAAGGACTGCGTGGCACAGGGGTGCAGTGTCGAAAACGGTGCCCCTCGAGTACCGTGCGACCTCCGAACGGTGGCTCTTTTCCTCGGGAAGGGGCTGGCAACCAAGTCCTGGGCAAGCGACTCTGCCCAGGTGAGACAAACAAACCCTTTCTGGGTTCCTCGCCAGAGGGGACCAACAAGTCAAGCTCTCAAAAGGAGTCCGACAACGGGGACGGCCTCTGATGGTGGGCCAGCTCCTATTCGTAACAAGAGTAGGACTTGCGCACAGAAGGTGTGGGCTAGAAAGCGCCGGTGTCAAAGCCTAAGGCTGTGTATGAATCGACGAAGGGGTGCAACCCCACGTCAAGGACCAAGCGTCTCAGATCGGAGGGAAGCACTCCAGGGTCTGGCCTGTGATGAAGCCTAGAGGTTTTGGAGCATCTAAAGTTGCGGAGGCACCACGAATCTATGGACAAGTCACTGCGGCGGGGCTTGGGTTAGCCATCGTTCCGATATCACACCCGGAGGTGAACGTCTGCACTTAGCCTCAGTCAAGGTGCATTATGACTGCAGTGAATGCACCTCGGCTGACGTGGTTCCGTTGGAATCCGCAGGGTGCCATTGCGGACGTATGCGAGGATCAGTAGACCTTGGACTGGTTGGAGAGGATTGTCACTCTTTAGGCCTTAGGCCCTGGAATCGCGCGTCTTTGAAGGATCAGAGGCAAGTCCATAGGGTAACCAAGGTGATGGCTATGTAATTCGAGCAAAATCCTGGTGTCAAAGCGAGCCTATGGAGGACGTTCTTTCGCAGGGAGGAGCCTGGTAGGGTCCTTCTCGCATTTGGTGTTGATGAGGGATCCTATCGGGCAATCCATCGGCTTTCGGGCAACGCGTGGGTCTAGCGCGTCACTTTTGTGACAAAAGCAAGTATTCCGGATGCGCCTGGTAAGGAAGAGTGTTTCACCGGGGCAGCTGAACCCAGTGCCGTAGCAACGGAGGGGGTCAACCCCTTGATATCGACCTCGAAGGGGCGTCAGGATTATTAGCTAATCGAGGAAGATGTCGACGCACTTGGCTCGACTGGAGATCCCTGGCAACGACATGGATTCGGAACCATCGGCATCGCTTGGGCAGGGGAACCTAGTGCATCAGTGATGAACAAGGGAACCTTCTTCCAGAGCAATCTGCAGCACAGTAAGGGGGCGACCGTCAACTAGTTGTAAAGCAGACAGGCGTATGATACAAGAACCTCGGGTTTACCGGGGGCGAGTAAAAGGTCTGGGACAGGTAGAGAACTATTTTTATTATAAGAGGGACAGCCTGTCTGATGTCCTTTATACTTCGCTATGGAAACAGACAGACGGTCGGAAGACTTCCATGCGTCTAAATGATTGGGACGAAGACGAGGAAGGATTGAGACAGACTTGGACACGGGCAAATCTGGGAAGAAACCTTCAGACCCGATCTCCTCCTCGCAAGAAGGGGATGTGATCCGGACTGTCCCACTAAGACTGAAGAGTTATAAGGTCATTCTCCCGGACAGGGAGCAGTGGCTGAACTCAGATTGCCCGGTCCTCAAACCTGAGGGGCTCGTGCGTTTACTTAAAATTTCTTTGACTTGACCGAAAAATAGCAACTTTTGCCCTTTTACCCCCATAACGAATTTATCGCGGCATCCCACGTGGTTACTCTTTGCGTGGTTGAAGATTGAATCTCTCGCAGCCCAAAGCCGAATTCCTTCAAAAAATGTGTCTGGGTTAATCCCTACCTGTTCCCTTTTTAATTAATTAACGCCCTTTTTCAAAATAGTGTATAGAAATTAACTGAATCATTCTTTGCGTAAGATTTAGGCTGTTCCTCGGATACCCACGCACTCAATTTTTTCAGATTCTACGATTTGGAGCGCGCAAAAGGTATTAAGATTTGAATTATTTATTATTATCGCCGACACGTTGGAACCAACGATTTCCGAAACTCATTACGATATCAACGCGCTACCGATTCAAATACGCAGATATGATCGCTAACTGTAAATGGAAACCCCCAATTTCCCTGCAAATATATATTTATTATAATAACGCGATTGTACTTAGAGTTCAGTCTCCCTAAAAACTCTTTCTCTGAATTGAACTTCTTTGAACAACGTCCGGACCACTTTTTCTGACGTCACAAGATGCTGGCTTGGCTGAATAACTAAGGAGTGGCCGTGTTCTATGGTGCAATGCCGCGGGAGGAAATTTTTTTTTTTTTTTTAGTTGGATCCATCATCGATCAAAATCATTTCGAGACATGCCGTCTGCATGATCTCGAATTTAAACTTTACTTAAATAATTTAAATATGTAGTCATCTTAATAGTTTCAATACTTTTATAAGTTCATTTTTTCCCCCCGTTCTTTTGAAATGTGTTAACCCAACTTTCAACCTTTAATGTAAAAATTCAACCCTCCGGTTGGTTGTCTTAACAAGGCTTGATAATAATTTCGTCTTGAAACTTAGGACAACCTTTCCGTTTTAACCACCCTTCAGGTTTTTTCACTTGGTTTCGGCCAGTTAATTATTAAAAAAACAACATGTTCGTCTTCAACGTTTGTAATTTACCGTTTTCCTGTTAACTTTCACATCGCCTGATGATGGCAGTACGCCGAAACTATAGTCGCTGTTATTTTTAAAAACTTCAACGAATAAAACTATATGGGGAAAGTTTAGAGATTTTTGATAACATAAGGAAATTTTTTGTTATTAAGTCCCACACCACAGTCTTGTACCACAAAACAAGGTTATTTCTTAGTTACGTAACCGGGGGTCAACCTCAGTTATGTAACTGGGGGAACCCCCTCACCAAGGACCTTGTGATGGAGAGGATGTCTCTTTTCTACAACACTTTAACCCATAACATGAAAATACCATTGGTAAGGTAAGGGCAAGATTGAACCATTTTGTTTGGGAAGGAGGTTATGAGTAGAACAAGGAGAAGAGAGGAAGGAATATGAGGCAAGGGTTAGCAATTGGTTATATTAGACAAGCACCTTATACCCTTGAAAAGCCTCGGTGCAGAGGTAGTCCAAGTTCTTCGATTCAACCCAGAACGTCAGTTGAAGCCCACCATGGATTCCCGGCATGAAAGTTCGACGCGGCATCTCATCGTAGTCGTTCTTATCACTGTATCCCCTCTCCCAAGTCCAATTGGACCGCCTTTGGTGATGGACATTGCGATTTCTGTAATAATTCTGCCTGAAACGTTAACAGGTGAATTATCTGCGGTTCGATCGACGAAACTTACGCCGCAAGATCGGTGAACATGTCTTTTCTGTCCATTAAATTAAAAGTAAAGCAAACGCCATCTGGCGTTATAATTGGAGTGAACCACTTTCGAACCTGGTCAGTGCAGTCTCTTCCAACCCAACTACACTCAACGACTGTATGATCGACATTCGGCTGCACCTAGAGATTTGCACAGTAGTGAGCCACATCAGGATGCCTACCTTACGCTGAAAAGGAACTCATAGAGATCTTCAGTTAGATTGTCATCGTTCTCATCGACATTACCCGGCCAATCGTTTGAGCACACCATAGACATGTACCTAAGAAGTTTCTTTCTAAAAATTCTCGGTTTCACTGTTAAACCCTGAAGTTTCGCGTAAAAAACGTACTGTTTGTCACTGAGTTGCTCCCCTCTTGTAATTTTCAGTACTAAATCTGTATAATTAGCAATGTCTTTTTCCGTCTTCACTTCCGGGCAAATAGTAACTGCTGGGAACGGAATCTCCCACACTGGTGTCTCGGTTGTAGCAAATGAAACGACAACTGGGGACGTTTGCCACTTGTGGTAAGCTTCCAGTATGTTAATAACGCAGAAGAATATACAAATGACGAGCGTGAGGAGCCACAACAACCTACGAGTTGATGGTGGGAGGCATGCTAGTGATGGCAAATGGATACCTACCTTTCGAAGATGCTGCGATTTCGCTCGCCCAAGAATTTAAAGCCGTGCAAACTGGTGTTCGAGCAGCATTCCGACATGTAACGTTTCCAATTCAGCGCAAATGTTGGATGGGAGCGTTTTGTACCGTCTGCCATGGTTGGACCGAGACTATATTCATAGGTTGGGAAAGCGATTATCCTAATTGTCAAATATTAGGATTCGCGCGAATTGTTTTATCAAACTACACCTTCGCACGTAGGGCTGCTTCATTTAAATGATTTGGGCGTGTGCCAGCATATTAAAATAATGAGAGTGTCATAACATTACTTAATTACATCCTTGTATGAATAAAATCGATCGCTGTACTGGCGACACTATCATGGATGTTAAAACCATTGGGAATTGAAACCCACATTCGAGTAATTAAGTGCAGCTCTATTACGATTACGTTTCCAATCGAACCTCAAGTTGCGTGCTCCATTGCGGGGTAATGGGCTCGGATACGACGAAAGAGCGTGGAGGTCCGCACCAAATGAATCGTCACCCACTTAAAATAAAGGAAAAAATTACTTGATTTAATTCCGAGGGGTAAACCGCAACCCAAATTTTGTACACTGATTTCCTATAAATATTAGATTTCCTCTGAGTTCCTTCGAGTTCTTCAGAGTTCATTTGATTTCTTCGGAGTTTCCCTGATTTCCTCCGAGTTCCTCCAACTTCCACGAAATACCTCTGATTTCCTTGGAGTTCCCTCGATTTTCTTTTGGAGTTCCTGTGAGTTCCTCTAATTTTTTTTAAGTTTTTTAATTATTTCATTCTTATTCCGTTGATTTAACAATTTCCTGGTAAGTAAAACCCGAGGTAAAACCATAAAAAAAAATATAAAAGTGTCAAGTGTCAAGTTAAAAAGTAATCGTAAACGATTTACATAAAGCGCATTTCCACTTGCATTCATTTCCCATTTGTAAGATGCAACTTCTGTTAAAATCGTAAAAATCCGGTCACAAATATGAAAGATAGCGTTGCACATGGGCAATCCATTTTTGACGTGCTACTTCAATTTCAGTTTATGAGAAAATTTCCTGTCAATGCTTTTCTAAATAAGAAAGTTGGAACGCGCATGCGGAAACCTAAACTTTAAAACTAATGTTAGATTTTCCTTTGTTCCAAGCGCCTAAGTATCAAATTTCACTTAAATAGTTCCATAGATAAAAAAGTTGGCACTGCGCATGCGCAAAATAAAAATTTTGAAACTGGCGCTAGATTTTCCTTTATTCCAAGTGCCTATGTATCAAATTTCGTTTAAATTCTTCCATAAAAAAAAAGTTGGCACTGCGCATGCGCAAAACCAAATTTTGAAATTGGCGTTGATTTTCCTTTATTCCAAGTGCCTATGTATCAAATTTCATTCAAATACTTTTATAAGTAAAAAAGTTGCAATTCGGTTTTAAATGGTCGAGATGCGAAAGGGCACTGTGAATTTTGAATCGATTCGATTCAACTTTTGGCATTGCGTATTATATGGCTAAAGCTATGCCCATATTGAATTTCATGCAATTCAGTTCATAACTAACGGAGATGTAAAAGCGATCGAACATTTCTAAACAAAGTTATCGTTCACACGGACAGATAGATGGACAGACAGACAAAGGAACAGACGGACAGACCAACAGGCAGACGACAGATAGCAATGCAAAATTATAAACGATCTCTAGGATCGTTAATAAACGGCAAAAGGGTAAAATTATGGAACATGTAAAAAACGGTTTTTTGTTTTTTTTACAATAACTTTTTTTGTAAGCGGTACAGAAAAAATTCCTTCCTTGGTACAAGACTCGACACCATAACGAACCAAATAGCGAAAAAAGTAGAACAATAGCTCTTAAGATTAAGAACTAGTAGCGTCGCAAAGTTAGCGGATGGACGGACGGACGGATAAAGACACGACCTTAGACGAAACACTATTTTATATTTTAATAGACCTATTTGCAATGAGAAAAACTCATTATTAAATGAGAAAAATACCATAAACAAATAAAAAAATTAGTTAAGACCAAATTAAATAATAAAATGCAGCACGAGTTCCTTTGATTTTTTTTAGAGTTCCCTTGATTTCCTCGGAGTTCCTGTGATTTCCTTGGAATTCCTCCTGAATACACATGGAATTCCTTGGAATTCTTACCTTTCCTAGGAGTTCCTCCGGAATTCCTATGATTTCCCATAGATTTCCTCAAACGTGTACACTGATTTCCCATCGCGGTTTACCCCTCGTTTAATTCCAGCATGAACGGTCGAGGTAGCTATGCACTCCCTGTGTTGCATCACGGGTAATGAATACCGATCCTTGACCCATTACGCATATTCAGGCGAAATACTAGTTTCATTGATTTTTCTGTTGCAATTTTGTGCGTCAATTTAAAAATGCTTGGGGAGGCATAAAATACCTAATTACATGCTCTATTCTGGGTCAAAAGTACTTTCCAGGGCAAGGGAAGCATTCAGTGTGCAACTGGTTTGCGCATTAAGGGGATAGACCGGGTACCCAACTGCTCAAAAATTTTTATGGTCTTCTCGCATGCTTCTTGGGCATTCGACTTAATTCACGTATGGATGGTTAGTTCATTTAATTGTAGACGCACGTAACACAACGTTATACTATTCTACACCACAGAGTGACCGCGCAATTAGTAAGGCAACAAATCTATCAGAAAGATCTTTCATTGGGATTACGACTGCTTGCTCTGGTAAACCACACCCGAATGCCTTTAAAACTGTTCCATACCAACCCCCTCCATTTTTTCATTAATTAATTTCAACTAAGTAAACCCATATTCCTCGTTCGGAAACCTCCGGGCCTTGGCCAGAAGCAGTGTTCCGAATGTTCTTGTGGCGCTCGAGTTACCGTACCGTCCCGCCGACCGTCGCCGTGTCCACCGTTTATTTTGTAAATTCAAATTTACATAAAATATTGTATTTTCTATTGTCTTATTCGCCTTTTTTTTTAATTGTACTCTACGTTTACTCTTAAACAACCGTTTGTGAGTACACCTCCCGGCAAAGTCCGTCTCATTAAAATTTGTCATCTGGACTAAGTTCGGGACCGGAGTGAAGAGTGGGGTCAAGATCAACGGGAGTTGTCGTTGTCAGAAATTATTATTATTATTTATTTATTAATCCTAGCCTTTCGGTTTAGAGTATTATTTAGGTATGTACAATAGCATATGATACTACTATCGGAGTAAAATGTAGAATCCGCTCACTTTGAAGGTTCAAATCTCAAAATCGCTGAAGCCGATATTAATGAAATTTTTGGAACGTATCAATTGGTAAGTTGTTGTTAACATACGTAAATTGTAAATTTTTGCTACCAGGACTTTTTACGTTATCGAATTTTTAAAATGTATCCCAGATCGAGTGGTTCTATCGACCGCAAGTCACTAAACGCTCCTCCCTCAATCACTCCAACTTGTGAATTGGACGCGTTCAGAAGTTTCAGAGGAGAGGCGAGGCGAGGTTTCCTTTCCCAAAACGTCGATCGCATTTTCGGACAGGTCCAGATATTTCAAGTGATCCAATCCGAGAAAGGCTCCAAGTTCTACCATCGCGATCTTGGAGCTGCTCAAATTCAGTTTGTCCACGTTGACTAAACCGGTAAAGGTGACACCTTTAGAAAACGCTGGAAAAAGGTATTTGCTAATAAGTCTAGGTGCAGAACTCTTTAAAGAGTAGATATCCGCTGCAAGGAGAACCAATAAGCGATAACAGCTTGGGAACAGATCTATGTTGGATCTTTAATACTCATTTTCTTGATATGTTAGCTGTTACATCGGTTTATGAAACAACAAGGTAAGAATAATAAATAAATCTAGTTTGAATGATTTATTCTGTGCATTATACTGTATGAGAATATAAAGCCCTTCAATGACACTTCACTTTGATCCAGGTTTCAGTCAGATCACTACTTAAAATCTGGATTCAATTCAAAAGTGCTACAAAAATCATTATCGATAAGATAAATAACCCTGCTCTAGGCGCATTGGAAGTGTTTCTTGACCCAGCTTTGGTCTTCTGGCGTTTAACGTCAACCACCTTGTGACATCCTCCCACATTGCTCCCATCCCTACTGCAGCCGATACCCTCTATACTACTTTCTAAAAACGTACTCGTAGTGTTAAAGAGGTAGTTCACGTAGCGATCACGAAACGCCCTCAACATATCGATCAAATTCGAGCACGTCCACCTGTTATCGTTGACGCTGATGCGCTTGAGGTAATCATGGTACTGCAATAACGCACTGTAATTAAGCTCGCTCAGACAGTTGCCGTCAAGCTGGAGCACCGACAGCGATCTCATCGGGTACAGCACGCTAACGTCGAGTGCGACGAAGCTATTGTAGGAGATATTGAGGACCTGCAGTTGTTGGAGATTGGAGAAGAACCCCACGTCGAAACTCGTAAGGAAATTTTCGGCGAGCTCCAGCTCGGTCAAATTGGCGAAATGCCTTACACTCCCGAGAGGAAGCTCCTTGAGCAGGTTTCCGCTCAAACCAAGCACGCGTAGCGCGTTCAGCCCATTGAAGGCGTTCACGTCGACGGCGACAATAGCGTTGTCCCTCAGCTCGAGGCGTTGCAAATGTTGCACCCCCATGAATGCGTCCTCTTCGAGGGTGCTGATCTTGTTACGGTCCAGAATGATTTGATTTCCGTAGGAGGTCGTGCGCATGACGCAGCCTTCAAAGGTACCAGGCTCGATGGATTCAATCGCGTTGTCTGCCAAGTTGATTGTGTCGACGTATGTGATGCCCGCGAACGTTCCCTTTTTGAGAGATGCCAGGGAGTTTCTACTGAGCTCGATGAAGTTGACGGGGTAATAGCCGCTGTTATCGAACACCATGCGATTAAACGCTCCAGGTCTTATATTCCGAATACCGTTCTCGTTCAGCCAGACCGATCTAACTTGGTACTCCATACTGAGCGCACCCTCCAGAAGTGTGTCTATAGAGTTGTGACTCAAGTCGAGCCTGCTCAAAAGCTTGAATGGCGCAAACGCGTTGGGCTCAACGTTCGAAATCGCGAGACGTGATAGGTTGAGTGTTTTCAAGCTGGTCAGACCGACAAATGTATTGGTTTCAACCACGTGATAGGGATTACCCGACAAGCTCAGTTGAATTAGGTTCTGTAGACCGGCGAACGGTTTGGACACGAGCGATTTGACGCGATTTCCGTTTAAGTGCAGTTCCAGAAGGAGGTTGAGGCCCTTGAATGTCATCTCGTGAAGGGTTTCGATAGCGTTTTCGCTTAGGTCGAGAAACCTCAACTCGGGCAGCGAATGAAACGCTCCAGTTTCGATCTTTACCAGGCCATTTCTGGCCAGATCTAAAGAACGCAAAGAGACCAACTCGACAAAAACGTTCGGCTGTAACGACTTGATCCTATTAGAGGAGCAGTTGAGCAGAAGCGTTTTGTTTAGCCCTTTGAACATGTCTTGCTCTAATGACTCTAAGTCGTTGTGATGCAAATGCAATGATTCCAAATCCTGTAAGTGAATGAACACGCTTTTCTCCAAGTTTTTGAATCCATTACTGCTGAGATCTAAATGCTGAAGGCGCCGTGACGCGATGAACATCTCTTGGTCAATTGCAACTTTGGTGGCCGACAAATTCAGCGAACTCAATTGGGGAAGTGATGGCAGCTGTGGTAACAAAACATCATTATGACTGACGTTGAGAACGCGCAAACGAGTGGTTGATTCAAAAATCCTGAAGTCCAGCTTTCTCCTGGTGCAGTTCGTTAAGTATACCTCTCCGACGTAAGGAAGACTTCTAAACACACCTTCACTTAAATTCTCGAGTAGGTTGTGACTTAAATCCAGGGCATTCAACGCGGTCGCGTTTGGCACAAAACCAAAGTCAACGGTGATGATTTTATTAAATGCAAGATTCAACTTGTTCAAGTTCCTCGGATGCGACATGTTGATGACGGAAACGTGCTCTATCTTGTTGTAACTCAAGTCCACAGTCTGTAACCGCGAAATGATCGTCTTCAGGAAACCAATCTCGGTTATGTCATTGTGGCGTAGGTCCAAGTAGGAGAGGCCAACGAATTTGTCAAATGCATCCTCCGATATGTTCCTAATGTGACTGTTGACCATTGCCAGTACTTTAATTTCCAAATAATGCTTTCCCATATTTGCGAACATCTCCTTGTAAACGGAGAGCAGGTGCGAATCATTAGCCGTAAAGACCGGATAGGAGACCGGGAAAAAGCTATCCTGGGTTAGATCAGCCGGTGTGACCTTCACGCATACATACTGATTCACCCTTTTCTCGCCATAGTAAATCGATATGGTGTCAAAACGGATGTTACAAGATCCCGCTCGGGTTACATCGAAGACAGCGAACAGAACCAGAAGTAACCGCATTCTGACCTGTAAAACATATAATCAGCAAACTGCAAATTCAAAAATTCGTAGTTAATAGTTTTGGGACTGGATGACTGGTGATGGATTCCGAAAATTCCAGAAAAAATGGGAGCGGAACGTCACGTTTCCAAACTCTGCGGTTTTTTGAGGAAGAGTATTTACAAATCGGGAAGCAGGAACCAGCCAGCGGAAGTCGGATTCCAGACTTGCAATATAAAATCCAGATTCCAGTTTTAACGTTCCGGAATTTCGATGACACGATGCTAGTCAAACATTGAGTCGTGATTTATTAGAAGAGGCCACCTGATGCCTAACTCTGAAGAACAACATCACAACGTCACACGTCAAATGTGGGATAAGAGTAAAAATTTAAGATATTCGCATCCAATTGGCCAATTTGGAGTTGATCAGAAACCAGAAACCAAGGACCAAGACACAGTACTTACAGTACCAAGCTCAAGGAGAAGATCACGTAAAGGTACAGAAACCAAAGATCGAATATCAATCGCCTGGAACCAAGTATTGAAACCAATAATTCTAAGTAAGAGAAAGAGGGATCAATCCAGAATCAACAATCACGCATCGGAAATCCCAAATAGACCACTGCGAATATGGATCCAATGGCCAGAAAGTTACCGAAAGCAATCAGAGTTCAAACATCAGGAATGAAAATTAAATGATCAAGAATCGGTTTACTGAATCAGCACTGAAAAATTAGGAACCTACAGTTGCCAGTCAAGAATGAAATAATCTTGAATCGGAAATAGAGCCAGAATATTGATTGTCGGAGATGGAGCAGGAATCAAAAACCAAAATGATGTGACATGAATCAGTAAATAAGGACTCGAGGAAGCATTGTGAATAAAAATCGGGTGGCTAGGAATCAGAAATCAAGGGTGGAGGTCTGAAGAATGGAGAGTGGGCAATCAGGAGTGAAAAATCTGGAGAAGTGAACAGAGAACGGGCTTTCAAGGATCAAGTATCATAAACCACGTATTAGGGATATCACTACTACGACTTTAGGATCCGTAGTTAGTGTGCCCCCAAGACGAGACGAGACGAGACTTTCGAAGGTCTCCTCTCGCCCTGGTTCAGTCTCGTCTCGTCTAGTGTCGTTTGGTCTCTCGAGGTCCAAAAATTGTGTAAAGCATATAAAGGGCATCACGAAGGCATGACAAAAAATCCGATATAACTGAATACCGAACGATCCTCGAGGTCTTCGCACATACATCATTTTTACAACACACCAAGGGATTGATTCTGGCCCACCAGATCAGCATAGCTTGTAAAACAAATTTTTGAATCGGCATTTGTTTTACTTTTATTCGAGGTGCTTACATACAAAATTTCATGCAATTCGGTTCATAACTAGCGATGTTAAAAAACCGGATTGCACATGCGCAAAATAATTTTTTTTACCGACATCAGTTTTATTTATTTATTTAACCAGAAACCATACAGAATAAAAATTCCAATTACATGGCACTGGGGCTCTGAACAAATATTAGGACTAGGATCTAATTTTATTTATTATTGAATTTAGGGGATCGTGAAAAAAGTCGATATCATTAACTGAGGATAACTTATTTAAAGCGATCAAGATCTTAATAAGTGGGGAAGTTGTGTTGTTAACTACAAAAATAGTATTATTTTGCCTTAGCTTAACAAATGGTACCTTAAGCTTAATTTCTTGAAGTAATTCGGAAGAGTATAACAAGTTGTGTAAAATTTTGAAGACAAAAATTGTGGAGGCAATGTACCGTCGGGTTTCTAACCTCGTTATATCTAAGCCGAAAGTACTATTTAAGTAATTAAGCTGGGTACCGTAAGAGATCAAATGTGGATAATTTTGGGTTGACCTAAAAAACATTACTCGGATGAACTTTTTCTGCACTTTTTCGATCATGTCTGAGTATTTGAGAGTTTGAGGAGACCAGATACTAGCAGCATACTCAAGCTTGGATCTAATAAACGCATTATATAAGGTTAGCATTGTCTGTATATTCGTGAAATTGAGTGTATGCCTGATAACGAAACCAAGAAGTTTGTAACACTCATTTGTTAGGTATTCAATGTGTAAGTTAAAGTTAAGGTTGGTATTGAAAAACACGCCCAGGTCCTTAACGGAGGTGACTCGTAGTAAGACCTTTCCATTCATCTTATAGTCAAAAAGTAAGGGATTTTTCGATCTAGTAAAAGTAAGGACTTTACACTTATTGATATTTAGTTTTAGTTTATTTTTGATACACCACTTAATTACTGAGTTAATGTCCTCTTGAATATTTAAACAGTCACTTGGGGATTGGACTTTATTAAAAAGTTTTAGGTCGTCCGCAAATAGTAGTGCTTTCGAGTTTTTTATCACTCGCGGTAAATCATTTATGTATAAGAGAAACAGAAAAGGACCAAGAAGTGTTCCCTGGGGAACGCCTGATGGTGATGAGGGATAAAATTCGGCTGAATTCACACCATTGAATTTCACTCTTGTTTTACGGAGAGATAAATATGATTTTAAGAATTTGACGGTCGGATTACTTACGCAATTTAAAACAAGTTTACGGAGCAAGACTTGATGGGATACTGTATCAAATGCCTTCGCAAAATCTGTATAAACACAGTCAACCTGGGCTCTCTCATCCAAGGCTCCTGCTGAGAAATGCGTAAACTGCATTAAATTTGTAATCGTTGATCTGTTCCGCGTGAAACCGTGCTGTTGATCTGCAATTATACTGCTGAGATGGGAATAAAGTCTAGTATAGATCACTCTTTCGAAAATTTTCGCTATTGCTGGTATAATTGCAATTGGGCGATAATTCTCAACTAATTTTCGGCTTCCACTTTTGTGAATTGGTGTTATTCTGGTGCATTTCCAAGCTTCAGGGAATGTACATGTTTGCAAAGCTAAATTAAATAGATGTTGTAAGGGGGTTACCAATAAAGATGCACATCCTTTCACGATGTAGGGTGGGATTCCATCTTCGCCTATAGCCGACCTCGGTTTCAATTTTTTAATTGCTTCCAGTATCTCGGATTCATGTAACTGAGTCAAGTGCAATTTGGATAGCACCAGGTCCGATTCCACGTCATCTTCCGGGTCATCGTTCCTCTCCATAGTGTAGACTGACTCGAAGAAGGATGCAAAGGCGTCCGCAATGCTTCTGGCGTCCGTTAACGAGGTGTCTTTGTACTCAAAAACTCCAGGTAGTTGACTATTCTTCCTCAACGACTTGATGTAGTTCCAGAATTTATTGGAATTCTTCCGCAGATCCATTTCAATTTGATTAATGTACCTCTTATGAGCAATGTGGATCATTCTTTTGAGTTCTTTTCTGGCTTCAATGAAGTCTTCCGATGGGCCCTGTAACCGAAACTTATTTTTCTGTTTGATTTTCTTAATAATGTCTATATTAAACCAGCTAGGATACTTATTGGCACTCCTAATTGTAACTTTGGGGACACATTCATCGAAAATGTTCATTACCGTTTGATTAAAGCTAGTTACTGCATCATCTACCGATTTGAAATTCTTCAGGATAAGAGACTCCTTCCAATTGATATCGCGAAAAAGGACGTACATTTTAAGAAAATCTGCTTTTTTGAAATTGAAGTTGGTTAATTTGGTAATTCGCTTAGCTGGTCTATGGACTTTGTAGACTATTTCTAGTGCAGGATGAAGTGGATTAATTTTATCCAGTGAGTCGACAGCAGATTTAATTTCCGCGTTTAAGTTAGTTAAAATTAGGTCAAGGGTTCTATTATTGCAGTTTTTAAGTTTAACCGTATTAATGAGTTTTAAGTTGTACATCGAAGCTATATTTTTAATTACTTTGCATTTAGCACTCGCGTTTTCGAAATTATACGTGGCGTCAACAATTTGTGGTAGGTTAAAATCGCCTGCTATTAACACTTCCGATGAATGCAACATGTTTTCAATTGTTTCTAAACTTTTGGTAAAACTCACGTACTTATCAATACCAGATTTCGGTTGAAAGTAGACAACACCAATAATGTATGAAGTATTATTAATTTTAAGTTTGACCCATATTTCATTTAGATCACTTTGAAATTCCAATTTTTCAGCATTCAAATCGGTCTTGACTGCGATTAAAACTCCGCCTCCCATGGTGCACTTCATTTCTTCGTAATTACGGTCATTGCGAAAGACCGCATATTGATTGTTTAAATACTCAGCGTCATGAAAATTTTCCGTTAACCAGGTCTCAGTCAGTAGAATAATGTCGTAATTTGTAATTGCCAATTTATTTTTGAAAGATTGCGCTTTCGTTCGCATTCCACTTACGTTCTGATAATAGATTGAGAGCGTTGATCCGTACCTATTTCCTTGCTTGATTAGTGTTGGGGATGGCCTAAAAAATCAATTCTGCTTCTTTCTTGATCGAGTCGTTTTTTGTAGACTGGGCAATCAACACTCCAGGCCGGGTGCTGTACATCCAGTTTCATTTTTAGTTTCTCAACGGCGTTGGCACAGTTACTGCATTTGATTTCCGCGTCCGAAGCTTTACAGCTCGCTAGGTCATGGGCTCCCGCACATTTGGGGCAGGTAGTAGTTTTGCTACAGTCAGTTGCCTTATGTCCGAACCCATTGCATTTGTAGCATCTTCTAGTTGTCACAGCATCATAAATTCTGCAACGGTCCCATCCTATGTTAAGCTTTTGTTCACTTAGAATTTTCCGGTAACTATTACCGTCAACCTCAGCGTAAGCCAAATACCTGTTAGGATTTCTTTTATCTTCCGTTATGTGTACGACGTTTATGTACGCGGCTTCGTCGAGGAATTGATTCTGCGCGAGAATCATTTCCTTCATTTGGGTACTCCCGATCTTGTCATTGAGGCCTACGATTTTAATCTTCGGCATCTTCTGTTTTGGTAAGGAAAGAATGTAGTCGGATCCCAGTTTCGTTTCGGCTTCCTCCTTAAGTTTGGCTGCAGCTTCTTTATTTTTACATTCAACAACAATGGTTCCTCTACGTAGAGTTTTCATTC